CCCCCCCCCCCCCCCGCCTCCGCCCCGGGGGGCGGCCTTGAGCGGGCTGAGCGGAGCCGCTACGCAGAAGCCGCACCATAAGTCGTACTACGCGCATGCGCCATCGCCAGCACACGCGACGCCGGCCGGCGCGCCTCCAGGCATAATGACCTCCCGACATCCGCAGACACACGCACGCACACATACAATACCTACAATACATACGCCCCCCCCCCCCGACACGCATGCATCTCCGGCCGGACATGGATCCCGGCAACCGCGGGACACGTAACTGGGCGGCTCCGGCCTGCCTGCGCGCCGGCCCCCGGCAGGAGCTGAGACCTCCGGCACGGGGATCGCTAGCGCGGCCTGAAGGGGGAAGACGCCGGCCCCGGAAGGGGGAGGGCATGGGCCCGCCCTTCCCGGGAATGGGGAGCAGGCCGTGCGGCCGGCCGACCCACGCCAAACGCCGGGGGCGCTGGGAACGCGCGTGGACGGGGGAAATGGCGCCCCGGCGTGTGGCGGTGGCGGGCATTGCCGCTGGCCGCGCCTGCCCTGCGTCGGTGGCAAATGCCCCCGCCCCCCCTCCCCCAGTCGGTGTACGGACACTCCGGCAGCCGGGTTGCTTGGGTATGTCCCCTGCTCAGGGGAGGGGCAGAGGTGGGGTGCGGTCGAAGCAGCCGGCCGGCCATGCACGGGCATGAGCCGCTGCCGGGAGCGCACAACCTGGTGGTGGCGGCGCGCGACCGCGCAGCGAGCCGCCATCTCGGCTAGACCGGCAAAACGACGAACGCCACCACCACTACCACCACCGTACCGCCGAGGCCGGTGTCGGGCATCCATGGAGGTTGGCTCGCTTACAGCGACCACCCGGCGGGGAGACAGGCCGGAGTCGGGCGGCGCTCGCCCCCGAGCCGCGGACCTCCCGCACGACGACATGAGGCCGGGGCCAAGAGGGGGGCGGGGGGGCGTAATTTGTGACCGAGGCACACGCTGGCGAGGGGTGAACGCCGGAGGGGAGCCAGGCCCCGCCTCGCGGCCTCGGCCGCCCCCCAGCCCCCAACCCCGGGTCGGCGCGCCCAAGTGGGCGGGCGTGCCACACGCCGGGCTCCGGCCGCCCGGGCTGCCGCTTTTGGCGCCGGGAGGCGGGAATGGAGGGAGCTGAAATCTGCCAACTAGTATCGGCTGGCCGCAAGCGCGCGCATACGTCCGATGTGTCTGTGTATGTGTATGTGTGCACAGCAGGCGAGGAGGGGCGGGGCGGCGGCCCCGGGCCGGGGCTCATGCTCCGGCCCACGGCACGGCGCACATTCGGGCGCACCAAGCACAACAGCACCCAGCCGGGGCGGGAGGGGGCCACAGGGGGCATATGCCAGAGATGA